CTTCCAGCACAGCCCTGCCCTATGGATTTTTTATTTTGCTCGCAAATTGCCGAGCACTTGTTGGTCAGTGCGGTCAGGTGACCACGTTGACTAATGAGAAGCGCTTCTTCGCATGGTTAAAATAATTTTTTGTATCTGGACAAGTTGATTGGTCTACCGCTTTAGTCCTTGGACAAGTAGTTTCCACACCCCTGAAAATCTTTTTGCTTTGTTGAAGGGAACAAAGCAAAAAGGTGAAATAACAAATCCCATGATGCATCTCTCTCTTGGAGTCGTGGCTGTGAGAATGTTGCAATGCCTCATGGGATTTGTAGTTCCACCACAGCTGGAGGGCCAGAGTTTGGCTACCCCTGGTTCAGGGTATCTAGCTTAATCTTTTTTGTATAATTTAAAGGAGAACTATGGGGTCAGTGTTTTTCCCCATAGTTCTCCTTAGGGTGACGGGAGGACACAAACTAGCGTCCTCCCGTTACCCTAAGCTCAGTATACCGCGAGCTACAGCTTGCGGTATACTGAGACGCCGGAGCGGATCCCGACGTAGATGACGGGATCCGCCCAGCTGCGTGAGTGGCAGCTGGCTCTCCCTATCTAGAGGCAGAGCCAGCTGTACCCGCCCCCCTCCCCCGTCCGTTCCGCCAGTCAGCGCTGGCAGATCGGAGTGAGGAATCCAGCCCCTCCCCCTGTCACGGCAGAGAGCCGTGACCGGATCGAGAGGTGAGCGAACCTGGTATGTGTTCGCTCACCTCCCGATCTACTGAGCCGACCTGTGACAGTCTCATTGTCACAGGTCGGCTAGAACTATGAGGTGAGTGGAAATCACTCATCTCATAGTTCTCCTTTTTAAGGGGCATGTTCCAGGGTGGCAATATGGGAGCACAATATGGAAACTTTTGTTCCCCCATAATTGCAAGTGCCCTTTATAGCAGGTTACCAAGTTATTTTTATTTTTTTGACCGCTACAGATTTAAAAGGATGGAAGACAACTTTAGAAATTACTATAACATTTTAAAGTTTATGAGCTTTTAGTACCTGGCTTTAGATCTGCCTAAACTACACATGATGAAATGTATGCATTAATCACTTAAGTGATTACAGCTTTTGGTTTTATTCTAAAATGTGCTTCCATGTGAATTTAGATTACAATTTCAGTGTTTCATATAATTGCTATTAACAACTTGCCGGCCGTTGTAAAAAAATGTCCGCCGGGAACTTCCTGGATCTGAGCGGGCGTCTTCAGACGTCCTGCCCCGCCCCACGATCAGGCGCGCTCCCAGCGCGAGCACGGCCCGGCAACTGTGCCCACACTGTCCATTAGACAGTGCTGTTTCTATAACAAGGTATAGAGCCAGTAAAATCGGCTCTATACCTTGCAATCTAGCTGTGACAAATCACAGCTGTCACAAATGTAAACAGAGGCTGCAGTTTGCAGCCTTGTCTCTATCGCCTCTCTCACACACCGTTGGGTTGTGAGAGAGAGGAGAAAGAGAGAACTTCAAAGATCAGCCAAAGTAAGAATTTAAACTGATACACTCTGATACACTCTGATACACTCTGATACACTCTGATACACTCTGATACACTCTGATACACTCTGATACACTCTGATACACTCTGATACACTCTGATACACTGTTACACAGTGCATTCACAGTCTTGTCAGTGTGATTCATAAGTCAGTCGGTGTCATCAGCACGATTCAGTGTCAGTGCGTTTCAGTGTCGTCAGTACCAGTCGCAGTGACATCAGCACAATTCACAGTGTCAGTGCGTTTCAGTGTCGGCCGTGCCAGTCGCAGTGTCATCAGCACTTTTCACAGCAAAACACCTGTTCATCCAAAAAACCCCAGCCTGTGGTACAGTAAGACCAAATCGGATTGGCTTTCCCCAAAATATTGTCCGCAAGAAGCTGAAAAGGGGGGAGTCAGCAAGTCTAAGGAATGATGAACTTTTGGCCCTCAAATGGAAAGACAAAAGGGATGTCTACATGCTGTCATCCATCCACCCAGACACATCAGTGGAAATCCGAGGAAGATCTGGCCCATTCCACAAGTACAATCTCTCTATGGGTGGTGTTGATTTCAACGACCAGATGATGCAGCCCTACTTGGCAACCCGCAGATCTGTCCATTTGGTATAAAAAAGTTTCCATCTATCTTTTTCAATTGGCTATGTACAATTCTTACGTAATTTATAAGTCTACAAGAAGAGCTGGCTCTTACCTCCAATATCAAGAAGCAGTTATTACATCCCTGATTTACCAGGAAGGCCCTCCTCCGGACAATCTGCAGTCTGATGCAGTCATAAGGCTGCACGATAGACACTTCCCCGATAAAATTCCTTCCACCCAAGAAGACCGGACACCCCAAAAAAAATGCCGCGTGTGCAGCAAGAAAGGAATTAGACGGGACACGCGTTACTACTGTCCCTCAAAACCTGGCCTCTGCATTAAAGACTGCTTCCGCCTCTACCATACCTCACTGCAATTATAGTGTAGGTATGATGAAGATGTTTATGGGTTGACTACCTATTATTTGCCTGTGCCAGATCTCCTTTCCCTGCATACCTACAACATCTCTGCATGCCTCCTAATCTGATCCTTGTTTGTCTGTCAACCACGTCTCTGCCTGCCACCTGGATTGATCCTTTGCTTGAATACTGACAACACCTCTGCCTTTCGCCTGAACTGACCTTCGGCTTGCTTACTGACCCTGTCTCTGCCTGCCGCCTGGACCGACCCTTTGGCCACATACTGACCACGTCTTTGCCTGCCGCCTGAACTGACCTTGGCCTGCATACTGACCACGTCTCTACCTGCCACCTGGATTGATCCTTTGCTTGAATACTCACAACACCTCTGCCTGCCGACTGAACTGACAGCCTGCTTGCTGACCATGTCTCTGCCTGCCGCCTGGACAGACCCTTTGTCCACATACTGACCATGTCTTTGCCTGCCGCCTCAACTGACCTTGGCCTGCATACTGACCATGTCTCTGCTTGCCACCTGGATTGGATTGATCCTTTGCCTAAATACTCACAACAACTCTGCCACCTGAACTGACCTCAGCCTGCTTACTGACCATGTCTCTGCCCTCCACCTGAACTGAGCTCAGCCTGCTTACTGACTACGTCTCTCCATGAACTGACTTTGGCCTGCATAGTGACCACTTCTCTGCCTGCCACCTGAACTGACCTAGTTGACCACATGTCTTCCTACTGCCTGTAGTGACCCATCTGCATGTCCAACTAACAATGGTCCATCCAAAACACCAGTCCCAGTCATCCTCTGAAAACAGCTGCACTCCTGGAACCACATGTACGGTTTTGTTTACCTTTTGTCAAGCTTCCTGTACTTCCTGGTCACTGAACATAGCATTTTGTATAATTCCTGGGGTTAGCCAAGTACCAGAATGTCTGCTTGGCTTGGGGGAATGGGGTCATACCATTCCCCCAAAGTGCTCAGTACCAGATACCATGGAGCACTTTGAGAGCTTCATGGTGCTCCATGGTATTTACACTCCTCTCTATGTGGCTAGGATGTGAAAAAGTCTCACATGTGAGGTATCCCCATATTCGGAAGGAGTAGCAGAATGTGTTTTGGGGTGTAATTCTGAGTATACCTATACTTTGTATAAGAAATATCTTATTGACTGACAACTTTGTGTGCAAAAAATACATTTCCATTTTCTTTCTTCATTTTTCAAAAACTTGAGGCAAAAAAATGAAATCTTCAAAACACTCACAATGCCACTTATGAAATACATTGGGGTGTCTGCTTTCCAAAATGGGGTCATTTTGTGGGAGGTTCTATTGTCCGGGCACTCCAGGGTCTCCACAAATGTAACAGGTAGACAGGAAATCAGATGATTAATTTATGCCCCTTGAAACCCTCATGGTGCTCCTTGGATGTTTGGCCCCTCCATGCGGCTAGGGTGTGAAAAGGTCTCATATGTGTGGTATCCCCATACTCGGAAGGAGTAGCAGAATGTGTTTTGGGGTGTAATTCTGAGTATACCTATACTGTGTATAAGAAATATCTTATTAACTGACAACTTTGTGTGCAAAAAATACATTTCCATTTTCTTTCTTCATTTTTCAAAAACTTGAGGCAAAAAAATGAAATCTTCAAAACACTCACAATGCCACTTATGAAATACATTGGGGTGTCTGCTTTCCAAAATGGGGTCATTTTGTGGGAGGTTCTATTGTCCGGGCACTCCAGGGTCTCCACAAATGTAACAGGTAGACAGGGAATCAGATGATTAATTTATGCCCCTTGAAACCCTCATGGTGCTCCTTGGATGTTTGGCCCCTCCATGCGGCTAGGGTGTGAAAAGGTCTCGTGTGGTATCCCCATACTCGGAAGGAGTAGCAGAATGTGTTTTGGAGTGTAATTCTGAGTAAACCTATACTGTGTATAAGAAATATCTTATTAACAGACAACTTTGAGGGGAAAAAAAAAAAAATCTTAATTTTTTGATAGCTTGTGCAAAAAATACATTGATACATTTCCAATTATATGGTATATATACCATTGTTCTGTAGACTGTATAACTGTAAGACATTCTAATTAATTTACACTCATTTTGATTTTTTTTTTTACCAAAGAAATGTAGCAGAACACATTTTGGCCTAAATGTATGAAGAAAGATTATTTATTTGCAATGTTTAATTAACATAATATAAGGAAAACAGTTTAAAAAAAAAAAAAAATCGGTATTTTTTTCTTTATATAGTAAAAAATAAAACCCCAGTGGTGATTAAATACCACCAAAAGAAAGCTCTATGTGTCCCCAGAAAATGGTAAAAAATTCATTTCAGTACAGCGTTGCATGACAGAATAAATGTCAGTCAAAGTACCGCAGCACTGAATACTGAAAAATGGCCTGGCCAGGAAGGGGGTGTAAACACCTGGTCTTCAAGTGGTTAAAATGTCCCTGTAGTCAGTGTACATTATGCTGCCATTAGATTGTATTAAATACATATATTTTTCTTTTTTTAAAGATCTACTACAATCATTTCTCAACCGAAGATTTGGTTTCAAATCTTCTTATCTTATTTTATCGAGCAGATCTATCTAAGGATGTTGGCTGGTATGTAAATACTTTTTCACATCTTTATCATGTTTACTTTTTATAATTGCTCATTTGTTTTATTCCTATGCTTTAAACAGCATGGTGTTGGTGTAATGTGGATCTGCTGTTCAGATCTACTTGTAACATGCACACAAATTAGTTAAAGAAGAACATGGGGCAGAATTCACTCTAATAAAGTTTGTGTATCTTCCATAAAAACTATCCACTTCACTCTGATAACTAAGGACTTTCTTCAGATTTTCTTAACCGCCCCAAATTTCATATAGATACAAGATAATCAGTTTGTTCATTTTATTACTAGAATATCAAGAGGAACACTCACCAGAAAGTCCTGACCATATATTCCAATGGTCAAACTGAGCTTGTGAGTGAGAATATTCCTCTTTTGCTCTGTGATCCTAAGAACTCCATAGCCTCAGCTGCTTCAGAAGTCCTGCATACTCCTTGAACACTTCCCACACAGGTGAGTGATCCACCCAAACGAGATAACAGACAATAGTGTAATAATTCCAGGTAAAATTTATTAAAAGCAAGGGATAATCTGCACATCAATCAGTTCCTCATAACAACATCAGATCCCAAAATGCCTTCAGCATGTCTCCACCCCTGCTACATGTTTCATCAGTATGACGTTTTCAAGGAGGGTGAACGTCCGTTTGTGCAGATTATCCCTTGCTTTTCTGTTTGTGACTCGTTTTTAATAAATTTTACCTGGCAATATTACACTATTGTCAGTTATCTCGTTTCAGAAAATCTGAAGAAAGTCCTTCGTTATTGAGTGAAGTGGATAGTTTTGATGGGAGATGCACATAAACTTTATTAGAATGCATTTACTTTTGTTATGCACCAGTTGGACTGACATATTTCATTTTTTGTTTATCTTATTTTTATACATGTTGGATATTATATTTGCATTACGGTTTTGATAACATTTATCACTGAACAATTTACAAGAGCAGGGTATTTTTGCATACATATCTTTTGACACTTTGTTAGCACTGCAGCGGTAACACAACCATCTTAGATTAAGTAATACGACCATATCAGAGACTTTTATTGATATAAAAATAATGATGTACTCACCTGAACCTTGGAGCCAGCTGGCTGCTTTACTGGTCCCTGGCTCGCTCCCCCTCTGCACCAGCGCTCTAAGGTCCTGTGAGTCATGTCCTATACAGTACGTAGGATGTGAGGACACTGAGGGACATTCCATTGCTGAAGCGAAGAAGACAGGCTGCATGGACCGGTCTAGCAGCCAGTCGGCTTTGAGGTTCAGGTAAATATATATATATATATATTTATTTTTTGTTTCGTCCCTAGATGAAAATGAGCACTTAGGCCTTGAAAAACATTCAATTCATGTTGGGGGTCGATGGGGGGGAATCTCCCCTGCTGGGCCACTGTGTTCTAACAGCCAGTGTCCGCAGCCTGACAAAAGTCAAATGAAAAAGTGACTTGTTGGACAGAGTGGTTTCGACAAGGTCACCCACAGCTCAAATTTAGCATGCAATAGGAGGATTTGGCATAAATGTGAGCAGTGTGTGACCAACTTTTGTCAGAGAAAGGAAAAAACCCCGCCTCTGCTAACCCCAACAGTATTTCTCTGAAAGAGGCAATCATTTAGTTGGCAGTTGAAGCACCCTTTGTTAAATGTTTGTTAAAATAAGACATACAAGTAATGATCTAGTTATAAAAATGTTTAAAAAGCTAGGTTATAGGAAAAAAAAAAAGTTTACATTTTAAGACCTTGGTTTGTACCATTGGTAGACCTCTTTCTAGCCTACCGATATGACTTGGAAGATGAAACGCCAACCAACATAATTTGCATATGCTTTCTGTGTTACTTCATACTCTTTTTTTCTAGGTGCAAAGTTCTTGAAGAAGCTGCAAACCTTATAATCCTGAACAAATCAATTGTAGACCATCCACAGCTGTGCAACAAAGTGATGATGACAGTTTTGCCTTACATGCTATTCACAAGCAGAGATTTTAATTCGGCTGAGCACAATATGGCTTTAAACTTGGGAAGAAGCTGTTTATGTAGCTTGCATCCATTGCTGAATGGCTGGAGAAAAGGTATTGCTACAGAATATGATAAATGTGACTGTAAAATAGTTGAATATTTCATGGCTTATGTGTAAAGCTGAATGAGGAAGTCAAATCATACCTGTAAAACAAAAACTATGTTAAACTAAGCTAACTAGTAGAGAAAAGCTGTAAACCTGACAAGTGATTTTTCTCATCCTTTGAAGTCATTCACTTTCAGGTCATACTGCCGACTAAAGGAGTATTGGACACTGGAAAACTGTAGGCCAGGCCAGGATAACCCCTTCTACAACTTGCATGCTATTTTTTGTTAGTGTCCTAGGATGATAGATGTTTTTTTATCTCGCTCTGCTGTGTGGATGACTCACCTGTTTTTGCTTGCTCTTTTTTTCTTCACTCCAAGATTCTTTTTCCTTCAACACTTTCTTCTACATTGTTGCTAGAACTTGCCTCTTTGTTTTGCAGCTATCAAACCTCAGCCTGGCTTTTAGCGTGCCATGTCTGTGACCCATTGGACATTGCAGAGATGGCCTGGAAGTGACTTTTGGGCACTGGGTTCCATGTAGGGTACTTTCTAGTCTTCGTTCTGGTAAAAAGTTAGTCTCTAAGTTCTTTCCAGGTCTAGTTGCCTAATTTTCCAACGTGGAATGACTTAACACTGTGGAACTTAGAGCAGACATTATACGCTGGGTGGAGTGTAGCAAAAACATGCATTCCCTGCACTCTCTTCCACCAGACAGCATTGGGAAAACATTTTGCTGCTGCTTCTGCTTGCAAAGAGCCACAAGGAGTTTTAAACTAACCTGTTCCTCCTGCGTGTCTACAGTGACTTTGGTAACCTCCAGCCATCTGATTTGTCACCTTCTTCCAGCTGTCTTGGTTTTGTGAGTACCTGATGCCTTGCCTTGTACCCTGACTTGCAACATGTTGTTTTCAAGACACAGGTAGACAGTTCTATGGTGACTGGTGCTCCAGCTCGCACTCAAATGGTTTTTGGGCTGCTTGCCTGCTGTTGGTGCTGACCTCTCTAGCCTAGCCTGGAATTCTGTTGCCCTCTACTCCTAGATTCTGTCCTATCATCAGTATTTTTTGATGTCTAGTTCCTGGGCTCTTTCTGCTGAGTTTTTACTACGGTCATGAAAGACTTTCTGGCCTAAATTACTCTATTTGCTGACTCTAATGGCAGAAGCATCAAGTGTGCTCCCTCACAGCTTCTCTCTACAGCCTTGATGGCTTCCGAGCTCTCAACTGCTGAGATTCGGCCTCGCTCCATTCTTTTCCTGATGCGCTTGCCCCCTGAAGAGTTGCTGTCCACTGCCAGTATTCCCATATAATAAAATTGTTTTGGCTCTTATTGTGGCGGTCTGTGCCACCGGAGGATCCAACTAGAGTGGTGCATACCAAAACTTTTTGTAAAAAAAAAAAAAGTTGTCTATCCCCATTGTTGTTCTGTCAATGGTGTCTTTGGAAGCCCCCACCCTAAAGATCTGTTCTTGCCATCTGTTTTTTTCTTTTGCCTGTTCGTGTCTATTTGCTGTGTTGTCCATCCTTCAGTTGGACTACTTTTGGATGTCCTGAAGGTAAGAGAATCTATGTTGGAGAAAATAAATAGAATGTATCTTCCGTGCATTAAAGGATGCAGCAAAGAGATTGAAGATCTGGAACCACAGGGTTACAGCGCCACCTGCAGAAGGACGCTAGGCACACAAACAAAAATAAAGCCTAGGGCTGGCCTTTGCTGGTGGCCAACCCTTCACCTGCTGACCAGCCTAGTGTCAGTAGTAAAAAAAAAACAATGAATCTTCACTAGGATTTTTTTTTCTGCGGGAAAAAAACAACTTTATAGGGCCAGTGAAAATATTTAGGGCCAGTTTACACCATCTCTGGTGCGCTTCGCACAGTTAGTGGCCGAAAACGCACTGGATCACATAGTGGAAGCTTCCCTGCGTTCTGTGGTGGGAGGGGGCTGGCAGTGCTATTCATATTTTTTTTTTTTTGTGATTGGACCGGAGCACGGGCATTACTGTGCCACACGTTCTGGTGCAGGCAATCACACTGCGGGCAGGAGAACGTGTCTGTGGTGCCATTGCCTTAATGGCAGCGGCACACCCCCTCCCGCCCCGGAAACGCAAGAAGGCTTCCACTATGTGCCGGAACGTAATGGAGATGGTGTAAACCGGCCCTAAAGCCTGTGAACCCTGTGACACACTACACATGGAGCCACACATAGCAAAGGAAAGCAGCGGTAAATGAAGCTTTCATTCAGTGTGTCTAGCAATAGCCTCATCTCTAGCCAATCAGCATATAAATACGTATGAATCAACGTGTCAGGACACAGATACAAGTGTACAGCCAATCTGATTCCACCAGACAAAAGTGTTTGGAGAGATGACTTCAGGAGAGAAGTCCACTTGGTAATGTTTTTCTGCACAGGTTCTTTCTGTGACATATGCCAGGGATGAGAGCTATATAGAAAGAATTAATATGTCCCATTAAATATTTAATTACATAATTAAGAATATTAAATAATTAAAAATGTAAATACTTTTTTTTTTTTATCCGATTTTAATTTAAAAAATAATTGTGCAGCTAATCGAAGAAGTTCAGCCAAATTTTGATCTCATGCGTCTAAACACCTTTTGTAAGGGTCCACAAATTCAGGATGGAATCAATTTGGTCCGCAGTGGCTTCTCTCCACCAAGAGGATCTCCTTGCCTCCATCATCTTCAACGCTTATCATGTGACGATTTACCACTCTTAGCAGCATTTTCTTCATTTTGCAGTGGGGGAGGACTACTTCCAATTTGTGGCACTACCCTTCGGTCTGGTGCCGGCACCGTGGGTGTTCACCAAGGTTCTGGCTCCGGTTTTCCCGGTGCATGAGGATTTCAATCTTGGGGTACCTGGACGATCTCCTGTTGCGAGCCGAGTCTTACTCTGATTTGGTGACCAATCTTGAGAACCTAGGGTCCTGGACGGTTCAGTTCTGCCTTCCGATGTGTTGTCTCGGTTGTGTAACTGGTTATCTCTTTGGCATTGGACTTGCTGTCTCAAGGATCTGCCAGTTCGAGTTCAGTCAGACAGCGCCATGGCCTACGCCAAGGAGGAACAAGAATCTTTTTTTACCTCCATCTCCAGGCACTGGATCTGGGGGAGTGGTTACGGCACCCGGAGGCGATTCACCAGATCGGCCTTCGTTGGGGAACTCCAGATGTGGATCTCTTGGCATCTTGCCTCAACAGGAAGGTTGAGTGGTTTGTGGCCAGGATGCTGCTTTACAGTCGATGACTAAAGGCCTGGCTATTGAAAGCCACATGTTGAGGGACAGGGGGTTGTCGGATAGGGTGATTCCTACTATGCTTAAGGTGTGTAAGGCTACTTTGCCTTTCTACACATAATTTTTCAGTGTATAGAATTTTGTCCTTTCTGCAGTGTGGAGTGGAAATGGGTTTAGCCCTGAGTACTGTTAGGGTCAAAGTTCAGCCCTGGCTGTTCCTTTTCAACGTCCCTTAGCACCTCATTCCTTGTTCCGTACTTTTGTTAAGGGAGTTATGCATATCGTGGCTCATGTCTGCTCTCTGTTGCCACCTTAGGATTTGAATCTGGTGCCTTTGCTATTTTTGGTCACGGATGTCTCTCGGAAGAGTCGCACTGCATTTTCTGCTACCATTGTGCGATGGATATGATTGTTCAGGCTTATGCTGTTACAGCCCATTCTACTCGGGCTGTGGGGGCACCCTGGGCTTTTTGTCACAGTGCCTCAGATTTGTAAGGCGGCCACTTGTCTGTCCATACTTTTTCAAGTTTTACAAGGTTGATGTGTTGGCATTGATGCAGTTGTACTTGCGAGTGCCTGAGGGTTTGTCTCCTACCTTGTGGTACATTGCCTTTCCACCACGCTATATAGGGTATGTTCTGGAAATTTTGCTTGAGCTAAGCGCACAAATCCATGCCGCGCTCAAAGGTGTACTTTCAGCATCAATTGTGCCAAACACAAACAACTCCGTCGCGCGTAAACGCACGTATTAAGCGCTTTCGTGCAAGGACCGGAGGCACTTCTGTAGTTATGTAGTCAAGACAAGGTGTTGCTTCAACCTGGAGTTCTGTGTTCAAGTCTCTGACCACTAGCTCCGTTTATTTATATAGGCAACAAAAGGTTAACGCCCAGAGGGGGGATGGCTTTACAACATCTGCTAATCGGCCTCAAAATACACAGCTGCATCACAGGAAGTGACAACCGAAAAGTGGAGTGCATGCTCATGCATGTGAAGCACCGTGCACAGTTTTCAGCTGCCAGTTCATGTTTTACGTGCACACCTGTTAAAACCATGTGCAATAGATTTCCCACGAAAACATTTGCACAAAGGAAGCAGCGTGCTGACCGTGGACGCTGCCTCAACCAGACCTGCACACAATCTGCACACAATCGTTACCACTGGAGCGAACTTTATCCAGCATTGCTCAGTGAGCAATGCCCAATAAAAATTATACTACGGTTCTCATGAATGCGAGCTTATCTGCAGGGACAACGCCATATTATTTCCAGCGCGTTGATCAGATGCACCAAAAAGGATACAAACGCATGTTCCCTCCATAAAGGCAGATATGCATCTAAAATGATACTGCGTTCCCAAAACAAATGCATCCACGCCAAGCTAATCCGTGCATTGCGCAGGGGCCCTCACCGGCGTCCATACACTCGTTAAGAGGACACTGCTCTGCCACGCACATCAATCTCCCCCGACCAACAGCCCATCGCATAGCACATGGACCATTCGCCGGCGGAGACCTCTGCGCACAGCGGCTGCGTCTCCACATCCACAAGAGGAAGATATCTACTCCAATGGTTTGCACTCAGTGCTGATTAATCCGGGCCACGTTCCAATAGACCGTAACACAGCGAACCTGACACTGAGAAACATGATGACATGAATATACTAAAAACACATCCTAATACAATTTCCACAACAGGTAACTCCTAGCTTGCACTTCAAAGCTGCTTGCCTACTAATGTGGCCAGTGCTGGCTGC